GTGACTGTGCCTTTATCACGCAGGTGTTCTTGGAATTGTACAATGGAGATTGAGGGAATGTCCAGAGAATGACCTAAGCCTTGTGCCCTTTTCTATGCCTCACCAGCTCCTAAGTTCTTTTTTGCCACCAAAACATCACCTTTAGTATATCAATACTTACCAAGGTTGCTGAAACTTCTCATCTTACTTATAGTAAGAGTTTATCTTTAAAAACCTGTAATTTCAATGGTAAAGTAAACATAGCTGCATGGAGTCTATGCCATCAAACTGATGGTTAAGTGGATAAAGAACAGCATAACGAAGGTCTGGATACAGCAGTGTGATAGCTTCTATTTCTTTATTGTGTCTGGAATTTCTAGACTTTTAATTACAATGTACTAGAGCAAAGCATTCCTTATGAAAAAAAGAATTTTCTGTAAAATGAGCAGAAATCAATATGAGAAAATTGGTCCCTTTTGTTGGGCCTCTCCTGTCCCAAATCGCCTGTCTTGATCTCAACAACTTGTACCTTCTCATAACATTATTTTTTATACATTTTAAATATGCACAATAAAATTTTAAAAAACCAACAGCCAAGTCCTTTGCCAGAAAATAGCCCAAAAGTCCTGATCAGCACTGTGTTGAGCAAACGTAAGAACTGGTAATTTTTCTTTCTGCAGGGAAGAGAAGGCACTACTTCAGATCTGCTCCGATAGACTCATTTTAGCTTCGCATTTTATTTTAACTTTCAGCTTTTACTGGAAAACCATATGATAGTTGGATCCTGGATTAGCTCAAAGATATTAAAAGACAGCCAGAAAAAAACAGAACACGCATAGATCTGAAATTTGACCCCTTAATCACGTACTTACATGCTTTTGTGTGCCTCGGTTTGGAGTTAAACATTTTACTTTAATTAGCAAGTATTGAAGACAAATTGTTGGTTGCTTCCCTAGGATTATAACTGGTTCTGATATTCACATAAATTCCATCAAGAAGAAATGTGGTTTTAAAGTGTCAGAGTGACTTTACTCCAAGTAGTTTCTCATATAGAAAAAGTCTCATTTTAAAGACTTGTGAATATATAGTGGTATTACATTGGTAGGTGTGTACATATGGCTTTACAATCTTATTACAAAATGATTTTGGGATTTCTCAGACAAGTGGTGCCTGGTTCAAAGGACTTAATAAACAAGCAAGTATTCCATTGATGAAGTTTCTTTAAAACAAGAATAATAGCTTAAACTAACTAGGATTTTAAATGTATTTCATTCTTATGCTTCTAAGATTAGTTTGAAAGAAAACTCTTTATAAAGGGAAGCAGCCAGCCCATCAGCACTTGAGAAGACACAGAAACTAACCAATTTCTTGCCATGAAGCCACTAAGCAGTGGTGGACTGAATGAATTTAGAGAACAAGGTGAATTCCGTGCATTGGGGTTGAGGGGGATATCAGGACCTAGCTGGTGTGTATTGATAAAATCGTTCACAGGAGAAAGAAGAAGATACTCAAGAGCCAACTGTAATAGTATACAAGTGACAGACCCCTTACCTGAACTGCATGGAATTGGAAAAGGTTCAGAATCCAAAGTTCATGTAGTTTTAGAATATGTGAATATATGCGGGAGATATCTTAGAAATAGAACCAAAGAAAAATGAAATTCTGTTATTTTATATCTATCTAGTTGGAAGCAATTTTATACAGTACTTTAAAATGTTTTAATTCATGGGATACAGTTTAATGGTATAGAATTTTCCACTGTCATTTCATGTTGGTGCTCATAAAGTTTTAGATTTGGAAGTGTTTTGAATTTTCTATCTCTTTTTTTTCTAGTAGGGATGCTTTATATATAGTTGAAAGAAAGGATAAGGCCACTCGTTACTTGGTGTTAAATTAGTTAAGCTTTTAAAACTTATTTTTATTTTTAAAACTTTTCTAGTTGAAATAATATTATACCACTTTGTGTGCTCCCCTTCCTTCCTCCAGGCCCTTCCTCCACCCTCCCTCAAACTCCTCCCAGGAGCCCTACTCTGAAATTAGTAGCCTCTTATATATATATATATATACATGTGTGTGTGTGTGTGTGTGTGCAATATACAATCTCAGCCTACTGAGTCAGTCTTTTGTTTGCTTGTATGTATGTGTATATATGGTTTTAACGTCTGTCACTCTGCATTGAATAACCAAGGTAGGGGCGTATTCTTGGGAGAGGGTAATTTTTCTTCTCCCAGCTGCTAATAGTTACCTGTGGTTCTTTGTCTAAGGGTGGGACACTGAAAATGTTCCTTTCCACAACTACATATCCATTGATATTGTGATTGTGCTAGTCATTTTTATGAAGACACTTCTAGAAAAGATTTTTTTTTACACCATACTTCCTGGTTTCCAAGAGCCATATAAATGGCTCTAGCAATTGTTTTGATCATTATCTGAGATGCTCCTTGACCAGGATGGATACAGAAGCTGTGATGTAGATGAATCTATTGGGGTTGAATGGGCTACAATATATTGACCTCTGCATTGTGTCCAGTTGTGGCTTTCTGTGACGGTCTCTGTTTTCTATAAAGAAAGACTTTATTGCTGAAGGATGGCAGCTACTCTTATCTGTGGGCATAAGAAGAACATCTAGAATATAATAAAGAATTATATTTCTTGAGAAAAGTTGCAGTAGTTTTTCTAAGGTTCATAACCTCACTAGCCCCAGGGAAGCTGGCTAGGTTGCTAGTAATAGACATGATTTCCCTCCTCAAAGATCCTCCTCACTCAAAGATCCTTATTGAGTGAATCTTAAATTCAGTTTGACAGCTGTTGAATGGCACTGATATGTGAATGCCACTTATTGCGCCTTCATGTATATCTTGCTGTGCTGGTAATCATCATGATTTTTAAGTGTGCAGCTGCATAGGACTGTTAATTGTCTTTTTTCCCTTGACAGCTTGCATAATATTTTCTGGAACCATTTTAAGATGGACTGTATGAGAGAGGTATTCAGGTCACATCCAATACAAATTATTGAGTATTGTGCCCTAAGTGTGCAGTGTCTTCAGCATTAGGGACCCACCCTAACCCCTGAGAGGAAGTCACATATATAACATACATTCCTTTTGGAATCACTTAGTAAGTAGGAAAATATGAATTGAATATTAAAGATTTCTTCTCACCCCAGGCAGCATGGCTAAGTCAACAAAATGCTGGTGAGATTGTGGGGGGGAAAGTAACTCTCACCCTTGTAAGTGGGTATGTGATTTAGTTCATACTCTAGAAATCAGAATGGGGAATTTTCCAGAAACTAAAACGAAATCTACCATATGACCCAACTAACCACTCCTTGACACATGACCAAAGGATGTGACATCCCGCCTCACAGACATTTGATTAACAATGTTACAACCCACCCCATTAGCAAGAGGTAGGAGATGAAAACAACCTAAATGTATTTTGACACGTGAATGGATAATGAGCCTGTGGTTAGCATGCAAAACAGAACACTATTCAGTTGTAAAGAAAAATAAAATCTTTACATTTTTAAGGTAAATGTATGACCAAGAAATTATAATGAGTGAACCAGACCCTGGAAAAACAAAGACCTAGTGTCTCTCTTATCTGGCATTCCTAAAAGGCTACAGCTTTTATTAAATTTCCTTGTTCCATCTGTCATTCAGGCATTAATGTTGACACTTGATAATTGAAAGGAATTATTTTTTCTCCTTCACTTTAGATTAAAATTTCCTACAATGTATAATATGGAGGTCTTTTGGGAGCTTTACTTGTTTGAACATAAGGGTATAACTCATTGTTGAAAATAGAGACTAAGAAAAGTTAAGATTGTCTTTTATTTTGACTGTACCATTCTTTTGAGGTTATTTTTCAACAATGGCAATGAATGAATAGCTTCCTATGATAAGGACAGTATTCTAGTAAGAAGGATATCATTAGCATTTTACTGTCATATAGAAATATATTAAAAACATAATTATAGAAAGGCCATATTTTCATCCTAGAAGGAAAACATTTAAACATGTGTTAAAAGTGGTAAGTTTTCAAGTACTGAATCATGGAAATTAATATCTGGCTCCTGATTCATTTATTATACGACAAACTTGCTAATCATCCTTCAGCTTACCTCAGAATAACAATGAAATTTTGCTTATTAAATTGTATCCAATGTCCAAAATCCATATCCCATTTTCATTAAAGGTAGGACACAGTCAATTCCTTTTGTGAAGACATATAGTAGCTTTATTTATTTATTTTTTTAACCACGAGTGGACATTGCTGTAAGAATGGGTTCAGCAGTCTTCTAAGGGATTCTTGAACTTGTTTATCTTATTGTAAACATAAAAGCTGCCTTTTGCTCTCTTCCTTGTCATTGCTAAGAAAACAAGTACAGGTGAACAAATTGAGAATTATGAGCCAGAATGGTGATGCACAGCCGTTAATGCCAAATGCCTAGGAGGCTGAGAAGAAATGATTCCAAGTTCCAGGTCAACTGGGAAAGCTTAATAAGACCTTAGTCAAGCAAACAGTGACTGGAATGGAACTTAGTAGTCAGTATTTGCTTCATGGGCAAGACCTTGGGTTTAGTTCTTAATACCATCACTACAGTCACACATATAAATGAATCATGAAAAGGCAAACATTTTCAACTGTATGAGAAATTGTTTTCAAAATCTGGCATATACTGACAAGAGTGGTCTTTTAACACTGCTAAGCAAGAGCTAATTTCCTTTCAACTTGTTTTTGCTAAGGCATCTGATGGCTGTACGAAGTAAAAAGGAAAAAAAACATAGTTACATCTATTTGTCTATGGGATAAGATGTGATTTTGGGAGATTAGGCAGTTTAGCTGTTCCAGAATTTCTACCATATATAAGAAGAGAAAACCTTATTGATTTAAACATAGTAGGAGATTCTATCTTCTGAAATTGAATTAAAGTGCCTGTAATCAATGTTGAGGACTTAGTAAACTTTTGAATCCAAATATAATAAAGTTTGTATTTCCTGTTTTTCCCCTTATTTTAGTTATAGATTATACAACTTGTCACAAAACATTCCTGAAACATGATGCAAGAAGAAGAGTAATTCACTGTAAAGAGGTCATCAGCTTCCACCCTCAGTGTGGCCCGCATGTCCCTGTCTCACTCACCTTTTGCACCAAACATTGAAGAGACCAATAAGTGTTTGGAAGAAATATTGGAAGAAATAAGTGTTTGCGTACTAATTAATTAATTCTCTGCCATGCGGGTGTTGTATCTGAAGCACTCCTTTCCTGGGAGCTTTCTTGAGTCTAATGGAGCACCCCAGACGGTATTAGTCTTCCTTTTGCTTCCCTGTTGCTTGACAGAGGATTTTAGAGCACCCCCACTTATCCCTAATGTGCCTTTCCTCTGGGTCTGGAATGCCCCAACTGAGGCTTGTCTCACAAAGTTTAATGAGCCACTAGATCTTAGTTTGTTCTCTTTAGTAGGAAGCCCCAGAAAAACTGCCACGGGTCAGCCTGTCACAATATTTTACACTGATCGACTTGGCCTCTATCCTCATATAGACGACTCACAAAAAAGTCTTTATGGGGGGGTACCCCAGTTGGGATCTCTAAATGATCACTTGGAAAAATCTAAGAAAGACATCCAGCGTTACATGCCGATAGACAATGTGGGCTTGGCTATCATAGATTGGGAAGACTGGAGGCCCACGTGGTCAAGAAACTGGAAGCCCAAGGATATTTACAAGAATAAGTCTATTGAATTGATCCAGCAAGAATATAAACAACTCAATTTAACAGAAGCCACCAAGAGGGCCAGAAAAGAATTTGAACAGGCAGCAAGAAGCTTTATGGAACAGACTTTAAAATTGGGGAAATCACTTCGGCCAAATCACTTATGGGGTTTTTATCTTTTTCCTGATTGCTATAATAATAAATTTCAAGACCCCAATTACAATGGAAATTGCCCTGATATAGAAAAGAAACGAAATGATGAACTCTCCTGGATCTGGGAGCAAAGCACAGCCCTTTACCCATCTATATATTTGAGGAGTATTTTGAAGTCATCTCCAAATGCTGCACTCTATGTCAGGAATCGCGTGCAAGAGGCCCTTAGGGTGTCTAGAACAAAGGACCCTCAGAATCCAGTTCCCGTTTTTGTATATGCTCGCATTGTGTTTGCTGATCAAATTTACCAGTACCTGCACCAGGTAAGTAAATCAAAGAATGGCAGTTAAGAGATCATTCTACAATGAATTTTAAAATGCCATGCTGAATATAATTTTATGTTTTTAAAGAGTGAAGTTTGGCATTTAATATTGATGGATATACACATCGAGAATGTGTCTTGCCATGTCTGTAATGGAGGCAAAATGAGAACACATTAAATCTTTTAAAATTAAAAATAAAATTTCTGGTATGGGTGAGGGTTCATTCACCTCAGGTGTCATTCCTTATGTCGACCTTAATTTCTGAATCAGACCCTCTTGCTGTGACCTGAAGTTTGTCCATTAGGTTAGTCTACCTAGCCAGTGAGCCCCAGGGATCTGCCTCCCTCCCTCCCTGAGTTTACAAGTTTGCAAGCATTCACCTCCATGCCTCATTATTATTTTTTAAAGTATGGGTCTTAGGGATGGAGCTTGGGTCCTCAGGCTTACACAACATCTACTTTACCAACCAATCTACCTCCCCAACCCAGCGCTTGAATCCTGCTTTAATCTTATGAGATACTCATATCATGAAAAATTATACGTAGAATAAACTATACCTTAACTGTTTCTCTTTTTTATTAATGGGTATGTCCTTTTGCCATCTGAAGTAATTAGAGTAATAAGAGTCTCCATTTTAAAACAGTAACAAGGTGCTTATGTATAGAGTGTTTAGAGAGGATGGAAATATTTAAATTGTTGGATCATCATGTTTAGTTTTGGCATTACTGTTGAATGTATATTATCTTCACTTCAACCCCATAGGATAACTCTTCTCCTTGTATTTTCTAGAATGACCTTGTGAATACAATTGGTGAAACAGTTGCCTTGGGGGCCTCAGGAATGGTAATGTGGGGAACTCTTAGTCTAGCACGAAGCATGGTAAGTTGAATTAGTAAGGAATAGATGAAGATATTTCTGTCATTTTAATGTTTAAATAATCATGCATATATGCACAGCAAAATATAGCCATAAGTGCTCACCATTTCCCTTCCTACTGCCACAATAGACCCAATGAATATTGAATAAGGTGGGAAATGTAGGATCAGAGTGCAAAGCAGGGTCATGCAGAGTGTTTTTGCAGTTCTGGCTCTCAGAAAAAGATTGGAATGATGTGTGTGTGTGTGTGTGTGTGTGTGTGTGTGTGTGTGTGTGTGTG